GTGCTCTATAAATAGTCTGACTACGCTGATATAATCATAGCGAAAATATCCCACACAGGTTCAGCTGAGGTCTCCCAATATAGTAACAGTGAATAATAACACACGCACAATTAAAAAGAACAAAAAGTAACATTTACTGAACTTAAGTTACACAAAACTTTCACATAAGAATAAGTATCTTTATTTAAGCCGCGTGACTGTCATTTTCAAAGCTCATTGGACTTACTGTCACTTTTTTTTATAAGTATGCTTACAATGGTGTGTTAGTTTTGTGAATATAAGCCTAATGGGTTACAAAAATAGCCATCTGGGGTCCAGTCTAATCCTTAGGGGGCCCCGACCTGCGGTCACCACTCAGGCTATGGGTCCCTGAGATTATTGATGGTTATGACGGCTTCTTTTCCATTGCAAAGACCCTTCTATAGGTGAGATTTCAGCTGGTTATATGATGCTGAAAGCAACAACTCAGCAGTCTGTCTTCCACATTTGGGAGGCACTCCAGAAGCTTCATATAACACCACGCTGAGCGGTCAGCTAAGCCGCAGCTGCTCATTTTGTTTTTTTTCTGTAGAAAGTTTGACTGTGAATTTTATTTCTGCTTGCAGTGCAGTCTGAGCTTATAATATGATTCAAACATTATTTAGTATTGTGAGCCAAATGAGTTCCTTGGCTGCGCAGTGCTACCATGTCACCATTTATCAAGTGCTGCTCGTAGGAGAGACGGCAAAGAGTTCTCCTCATCAGTGCACCTACTCCACCGTTGGACAATTAACAGTATGGGACGTAGAGGTGACCCAGAAAGCAGTGCACCTACTCCTCCTTTGTCCAATCAATGGGCTGGGATGGGGAAGTTACCAAGGAAGCAGTTCACCTACACCTCCTTTGTCTAATCAGCAGGCCAGGGTGAAGAGGTGATCAAGGAAGCAGTGCACCTGCTTCCCTTTGGCCAATCACAAGGAGGTACCCAAGCAAGTAGTGCACCTACTCCTCATTTGGGCAATCAGCAGGCTGGAATGGTAATGTGGCCATTAAAGCAGCTCACCTACTCCTCCTTTGACCAATGAGCAGGCTGGGAGGGCGAGGTGGACAAGGAAGTAGTGCAACTATTCTTCATTTGGCCGCTCAGGAGGCTGAGATGGAGAACTGACCATGGAAGCAGTTCACCGACTCCTCCTTTGGCCAATCAGCAGGCTGAGATGGGGAAGTGACCAAGGAAGTAGTGCACTTACTCCTCCTTTGGCCAATTAGCAGCCTGGAATGGGAAGGTGACCAAGGAAGGAGTTCACCTACTCATCCTCTGGCCAATCAGCAGGCTGAGATGGGGAAGTGACCAAGGAAACAGAACCCAGAACCCCAGTATTATGTATATCTATCTATCTCTCTATCTATCTATCTATGGATAGATAGATAGAGAGATAGATAGATAGATAGATATACTGTATGACGTACTTTATAAAACTGTACTCCTTGGATTGTTTGTTTTCCCTCGAGTTTCACTCTAATCCATTTAATACCATTCCTACATTATTATTTTAGTTTAAATGTGCTGAAACTGGCGGCACAGTGAACGTCACCTATGGGAACATCGGGCTGAAATCTACTTGCGAGCAGTGATGCAAAACCAAGAAATGTGTAAGAATTGTTGGTGGACAATTACTGGAATTAAAAGCTTTGCTGGTTTCAATGCTACAACGTCTCAGCCCAGCAGTTTCTGCATAAGGGAGAGGATTTCATGGGTCAGCATTGATATAACCCCAGACATTTCCATCCATGGACACATTTCTAAATCAACCGCAGAATTATCCTGGGTTGACTATGTCTATGGCAATGTTCACATCACACCCTCCATCCCCGGATTATATTCCCACTGCAGGAATGATGCATTCACAGATAAGTCATTCTAATGTATTTTCACAATGTGTTAAACAGTATGCAGTTGTCTACATAGCTCACACCTCATCCCCACAAGATTCTGCTTCATCCTCATAGAATAGTGCTCCGTTCACAGCAATTAAGGCTTTATTCACCTGTGTTGGGTGCAGAAGAGCTTTCTGGCTAGACCATTCTCCTGGTGACATGGGGAGAGGTGGGAAGCTAGGAAAAGCCATTGGAACAAATGGACAGCCACATGTACTTTTGGAGCAGTGAGCTCCAATGATGCCCCCCCCCCAACCAGAATGAGACCAGTTGGTTGATGGGCACTTGGCAGGGATCACCACTACCTGCCATGACCGTAAACCACAGCAGTGTGGACCTTGGAGAGACCCTGCAACCAACTTTAATAAAAAATGCAGATAAAAGCACAGCCAAATCAAGTATCTAAGGTGCTTACTTCCAGCGGAAATTACTTTTTATTGACTTTCAATGTGCCCCTGAACAAATGGGTGAAGGGAATACTATAGGGTGACAGCTTTGAGTCCACTGGAGCTGCTGACATCATATTCAAGATGGCGGCACCCAGCAGCAGCAGTCTCAGGGCCTTTAGATGCTTCTACAGGTAGCAAGATTAGGGGAAGATTCTAGTTGAAATGACTGGTCTGGTGATAGGGTTTCTTTAAAGTATTAAAGGGAAACACATGTTGGTCTGTATAAGAATACTTTTAAGGTGGGGGGCAGGGTTTAATCTACTTCCAAGTCTTTAATGCTCTTTAGGAAATATTGCAATCACACAGCCATGCCCCCCCATTGTGGGCAACCTTTGAGTTCCTTGTATGTTCTTATGGAAGGTGTGTGGTAGTACTCACTTGTCTTGAATCATTGCATGGATTATATATATGAGGGAGTATATGAAAAAACTTGCAGGCCATTGATATACACAAGCTGGTGCCTGCAGGTCTGCAGTGAATGGACTCATCTGGATTGACTGGGGCATTTTCTAAACCAGAGGACAATCAATAGGAGAAGGCCTCAGGGCAGACCGTTCAGGAGGAGTTGTGTCTCCCAGTTATCATGGCAATGCCCTGCAATACTTCATGGGTCAATAGCTGGGCATGATAAGTCAGAACCATGGATTGTAACGTTGGCTGGACAGAATTACAAATCCTGATGGGACAGTTGACTTATGTGTATTGAGCTGTTGTCTTGAGTTCAGCTTTAGGTTTCTAATAACTGGTGATGTACGAGTTAAATGCTATAAACCCACCACTGTGTCTTTCTTCTAGTCTTGTGTCACACCGAGATCCGGGCCCACCCTGAGGAACGTCTGCTGAAGAAGCTTTTCCTGGAGTACAACAAGTGGTCCCGTCCAGTGGCCAACATCTCCGATGCAGTCTTAGTGCGCTTTGGCCTTTCTATAGCCCAACTTATCGATGTGGTAAGTAGCCTGCCCAACTGATATAATATTCATCAGCCAAGTGTCCTGAACAGAGTGCTTCTAGTTTTATGGTTCTCCAGCTTTAGAATTGTCTATTGTGTCCATTGAGAAATGTTGGCCAACTCTCCAATCTTCTGTGTCTCAGTACTGATCCCACTAAGTAGAGAACATCTTCTATGGCAAAACCAGGCAATAGTAGCTCACACGATGCACTAAACAGCTTATTTGTGGTTTCCTTCATGACTTTATAATTAATGTATATTAGGTCTGGTACTGATAAAAATTTTCGTGTTCGATTAATCAAATATTTTTAATCGATTAATTTCGATTAATTATAACGCACATACAGATCCAACTACATTGGCCTATATACATACAGCACAGCAATGAAGTAATAAAATGAACTAGGATCACACTAATCCAGCACGTTATTAATCTCACGTGCCCCACTCAATATGGCCGCCGCTTGAGTGGGGCAACTCAGAATAATAACGTGCTGGATTAGTGTGATCCTAGTTAATTTTATTACTTCATTGCTGTGCTATATGTGTATAGGCCAATGCCTTGGCTGGCGCTTGTGCAGAAAGTTTCTTGGGCAAACTCACCGGCCCAAGTAGCTCCGTCGGCTAACGAAGGGAAGAGGGGAGGAGTCCGGTGACGTCACGAACATCGACGTCACCGGACTCGTCCTCCTTCCCTTCGTTAGTCGTCACGGACATTGACATCACCGGACTCCTCTTCCCTTCGTTAGCCGACGGAGCCACTTGGGGAAGGGGGGAGGAGTCTGGTGACGTCAATGTCCGTGACGTCACCAGATCTCCGACGGGACTCCCGGAAGCCGGCGGAGAGGGGAGTGTTTTCATTAGCGCTCAAAAGAATTTTAATCGATCAAAAAGTTTAACGATTAATCGAGAAATGAATCGTTAATTTCCGCAGCCCTAATATATATACAGTAAATGGTTAATAACAAAGAAGGACATTCCAATCAATAGGCTCGGGGAAGCTCCGCGATGAGAAGAGATGGACTGGATTTATCCTCCCTGTTAAGAGGCATTGAAAGTGCCAAAGACATTCTTCTTCTAGTTTTAGATACAGTGTGGAAGAAGAAGAACTCCTCCATCTTAACCAAGATCACTTATAAATACAAAAAAAGCCCCCATGTACTGAATCTGGTTCGAACTTGTTCACTTTGAAGTCTTTGCAAATAGCAAAGGGGTCACTCTTTGTGCCTGGAGGAGAAACAGGTCCAGACTTCATTCAGCCCTTGGGCTGAATCAGTGAAAATCAATAGATTACTCCATCCATGCTAAACAGCAAGGATGGAGGAATCTCTGCTCTCAGCTATTGTATTCAGGCAGTAGTCTGTCACCGTTCACTTGCCTTTTTTCCTCCCATCTAAGCTAATTTTTTTAAATACACTTTTGCTGAGACATCAGAGTCACCCACGGCTCGAATTTTGACTAATTTATCATGATTCGGGCAAAATTTAATATAATAAAGATGAGGAGAGTCTTAGTCAGCCTAGGGTGACAACGCTGCTCCTTCATTGATCTAGTACAATGAGTGAGCATTGTCACCCTAGGACAGGAAGTGTGTTACTGGCAGGATCACAAGGTGAAAATAAAGGGAAAAAGTCTGAAACGAGAAAGGTAATGCCAACCACCACATCTAAGGACTGGTAAGGTGCAATACATGACATTGTTGTTCTTGGGATCACATACACTATAGGCACATATAGGCTATCGGATGGAATAAAAAAATGTAGGCAGGGATGCAAGCATTGATTTCCCACTATGTGTTGATAAGGACAACCAAGCTCCACCCACAGCGATATAATCAGTGCCAGAAACGCTCATATTGTGCTAAATTCTGATAAGGTTTTGCTGACCTTCTTTCATTTATTCTGCTGACTCCATCAACGATCAGATAATACGATGCTCGCTCCTGATAATTCTAGTCTCCCCAGTCAGTCCCTGGCTTCTGCCTGATGCATGAATACATGTTGGGGCTCCTCGGCTGCTTTTTACTCTCCCTTGGGCTACAATTAGGAGGCATTTATAGTAATTAAAGTGCTTGTTTTCCCTAATTAGATAGAAGCTTACCCAGAATTTTTACAATTCAAGGAGCTTCCTGGGAGATGAGATCCCAGTTGCTGAAGTCCATGAAGCACCAAGTCCAGTTTGGCTTGCTGGAGCCGGCCGTATACACGGGAGGGCGGACGGGACGCATCTGCGAGTATGACTCAATGTAAGTGCTGCACAGGATGTTGTCAGCTGACAAGATTTCGGGCAGGATCATTTTAGACAAAGACACCGGGTGGAAAAGTGATATGACTGGTGTAGTGGGTCACCACAGTAATGAGATGGACCATCATTCACAATACAGATTAATCTCTTCTATATGTGCTGGGCTGCTGCCACCATTTCCATCAATGCTCCTTATAGATATCAGCCCCATGTATTATACACCGAGCAATCTCCTCCGTGATGTGAGAGGCAGTAATATAGATGACGGAAAATGATCTGCATGTTTCTGCCTTATTGTAAAATAACACAGAGAGAGAGGGATGGAGAGATATAGATAGAGAGGGATGGAGGGATATGGATAGAAAGAGATGGAGGGATGTATATAGAGAGAGATGGAGGGATGTATATAGAGAGAGATGGAGGGATATGGATAGAGAGAGATGGAGAGATATAGAGAAAGGGATGGAGAGATATAGATAGAGAGGGATGGAGGGATATGGATAGAGAGAGAGAGATGGAGGGATGTATATAGAGAGAGATGGAGGGATATGGATAGAAAGAGATGGAGAGATGGAGAGATGTATATAGAGAGAGATGGAGGGATGTATATAGAGAGAGATGGAGGGATGTATATAGAGAGAGATGGAGGGATATGGATAGAGAGAGATGGAGAGATGTATATAGAGAGAGATGGAGGGATGTGGATAGAGAGAGATGGAGGGATGTATATAGAGAGAGATGGAGGGATGTATATAGAGAGAGATGGAGGGATATGGATAGAGCCAGATGGAGGGATATGGATAGAGAGAGATGGAGGGATATGGATAGAGAAAGATGGAGGGATATGGATAGAGTGAGATGGAGGGATATGTATCGAGAGAGATGGAGGGATGTATATAGAGAGGGATGGCTGGATATGGATAGAGAGAGATGGAGGGATATGGATAGAGAGGGGTCGGAGGGATATTGATAGAGAGGGGTCGGAGGGATATGGATAGAGAGGGGTCGGAGGGATATGGATAGAGAGGGGTCGGAGGGATATGGATCGAGAGATGGGGAACAGACAATTGTCTACTGGTTGTATAAAATCTCCCGACTCTTGGAGGAGATTGCACCACTTTCTGGTTGATCCCTACACCGCTCAGACATTAGGAAAAAAGAAATAGCACTGCGCTTCAAACTCCAAAATTATATTCCTAAAATGTGAAAAAAAATATTATGAAATGTGAAATTGTCACAAAGTGATAAACAATTTGGTGTCACACACACAACACCTATGTTGCACAATGCCTGCTGTGTGTGGTCACACCGATACATTAACTGCGCCTTGGCACGGAGCTGTCATGGCAACCAGAGGCCATGGCCCCTCCCCCTTTTGATGTACAAATCATGATGGTGGTGTTTACTGGTGGCCAATCATCTAAATTATTTACAGCGCTGGGGATGAGTTGCTAATGGTGTTATCGCCGCCGTTGCTAGCTCTCGCTCTCTCTCCATAATTCGGCTCATCCGGATAATCTATTAATTTTGGGCGGCGTTGGCAGATAATGGGCTCCGCATTCTCGTACTCTGTGCGTTATCCTGGCAAGGCAGCTGCTCTCTGCTCCAAGTGTTCATATAGCAGGTGGTGTTTGGTAGGGAGGGAGGATGGCACCGAGCCGGGGTGGGCAAAAGAGATGTATAGAGAAGCTTGCCGGCGGAGAAGAGTCGGGGGGAGGGAAGGGGCCGCACTCAATGAATCTTGCTGACGATGGTTCACAATCTCCACAGTTGCCGTTTTCTCCGAGCTGCCTGCGGCTGATGAGCTAGGACCACAGGTCCCAGCATGCCTTCATTTAAGTGGACCCGTCATTAAGTTTAAGGCTGAACACCAGACCGCTAGATTCTTTCTAACCAAGTAATGTGTTCTCTAGAACAGAGATAGAGCTAGTATAGGTACCTGAATGTGTCTTGGTATTGGACTCCCACTGCCTACAGGAGGAGAGAGCAGAGGGATGATCTCATCATTATTGTGCTGTTCCTTCACAAGCGGGGGG